GTATTTAATTATGGAAAAGCACATGAAGGCTATCTGCCTAAGGGGAGGGATGCCTTCGTGGAGGTCTTTCTAAGGGAAACTGGCTCGTATACACGTTACACATGGGGAAAACCACGAAAACGCCCATGCAGCCAGCCCGTTTGCGGGATTCGAACCTTGGACCGAACTACCAGTGTTCAGCGACGTTACCGCTCGGCCGCTGGTGGGCCCACACTTTGAGAAGTAGTACCAATGGATAAATTGAAAACAGAAAGACTGATACTATGGCATTTATATGTTATCAATGTATTCCTACGAAGTCTCCTTAAGTTTCCCCTATGGACTATTGGGCATTTGGTCTCTTAAAAAGAGCTCTTTCTAAGTGCAAACCACCACAACTATTAAACTCTGGAAAGTAGAGGAAGAGGAAAAAGAATTTGCGAAAACCCCTTCTATCATGGAAATCACAACACATAGGCTAGAGAAAAGGCTAACGTTAATTAATAGCCCAGAAATCTTTATAAAAATGTGTAAACGCATTCTGTAATTCTGAAGTAGAAAAGACCGATGGTGAAAAGAGAAAAGCTAAAAGTTTGGTTGATACTGAAATGGAAATTAGCGAAGAAAACAAAAAAAAAAAAAAAAAAAAAAAAAAAAGGCTCTTCTTTTGCACTCCACCGCTCGGTTAAGAATATCAGAGTAGGTAGATATATGATTGATAACTGGGATTTATAGCTGTCATAATTTCTAAGGAAAATGAAAACTTTCATATACTAGATACAAAACTAGGCATTTTAAATCAACATCTACACAAAAATCCATTTCATTGTCTTCAAGGAAGCTTTTAAATTTACAGATATTGAAGTAAGTTTAAGAGAATGTGCTCCTAAGAATACTAATTTAAATAAGCAAGTATTTCAATATTACACAGATACAAGCAGTGGTAACTCCAATGACTGCATTCAGACATAGTTTGTAACTTCAAATTTCAAAGTCGCTCTTCCTGCCAAAATTAATAGTTTGTTAAAATGCAATAACATTGTATTCGTAAAGTAATTTGTTTGCATTTTTTGTTGCCTTAAGGTGTTTGTATATAATGTTATTCATTTGATACAATAAAAAATTAAAGTATTTTATAAATAACAATAATCATTATTATTTTTTTTTTACTTTGACCACATTCCATTGCTAATAAATCTGCTAACGTACGTAATTTCATGCACTTCATATCACATGACATTAAAAATTTGGATTTTTATCTATTATTTTCAATTAATTACATATAGGAAACCCCGTCTGTAATTATTAATACTTATAGTGATTATTTTGCATTACTTATCGCGGCCAAAAGGCGGAGTTATTATTAATAATAACCTTTTTCGGGGGGGGGGGTTGCCAGCGCATGTTATCATCACAAGTAACGAGAACGCAGATAAACTGGCAAAAGAGGCTCGAAATTTCAACAGTAATAATAACGTAATTGTCACCCTCTTGGAAGAGGATTCCATGGCCAAATACAGATTGAAGGAACTTTCAATACCAATAAAGTACCAGCTCCATAGCATCAGTGAGGTCGACTTTATTAAAACCATTGTCAAGACTTAGAACTCATCATCACAGAAGATTCGAAACTGACAGTCAGGAAAATCTATAGGAACTATGACAACTGCCCGGACACAGAACTGACAAATGTGCCCAAATGTGAAAATGTGACATTTCTAGGTGTCCGGCCAGCCTCGCTGAATTGTTAAAAATTGGGGTCCTGGTTTAATAGACCGAACCTCTATGATGATAATATTCTGCAGCTTGCGAGGGCTCTCATCTTCGCCCATGGTACTATTTGAACAGGTTTTAGCATAAATACGACCACAAGAACTAAAAAAAACCGGTTTTTTTTTTTTTTTTTACTTTAATTGTAACTTATACGTATATGCATTTTTGCCATATTTGATTTAAGTTTTTGCCTAAATTTTGTCTAACCCAAAATTTAGAAAATTTTCTTCAGTACATCCAGAGGAACGTATATTTTGATAGATTACTGTAGATGCAGGAAAAAGATTTTCTTATAACATTATAATATATATATATATATATATATATATATAATATTTGTTTTTTCAGTACAAGTAATTTATCGTTAAATAAATGCATTTTATAACTTTTACTAGTAATCTAACATCGACCATTAGCTTTAATCTGAAAAAAAAAATATATGTTTACAATTATAGAAAAAAAAACCATTGGCTGAAATAAGATAGATATTGTTAGCGAAATGCTGATTGGTTGTTAAGATTGTATACGTTCGCCAGGGCAGATGTAGAAAACGTGAAGCGGTTTCGGCATGCTGCAACGTGAAAAGAACAAATGTGTGACGCGGTTTTCATGTCAAGGCAGGTTGGCGCCTGCGCAATCTGTCAGCTTCGTGACATCATAATTGTGCCGCTGCACAAAGGTCAAAGGGACAAATGGGGTCAACAAATAACATGTTTGTAAGGAGGATGGGCTAGCTTTAAGGTAACACTCAGGTTTTTCATCTCAGAGATGGCGAGTTCGAATCCCGCTCGTGGAGTTATTTTTAAAATTCAAGGAACATAATATTAAATTCAATAAAAATTTAATTAAAGGTAATAATTAAAATAATGTCGTACTAATTAATTAAAATACTTATTAAAAAAGAGTAAATAATTAAAATTAAATAAAAACAAAACTTTGATGACATCATTCCAACGCATCGCTTCCGGAAAAATCCCAAGTTGGCGCTGGTGTCATCACTTCAAGTTCCATGCCCCTCTGGATACTCGCCACGCCCCTTTTCTGTGACGTCACTTCCGTCCGCCAGTTACGGGGGCTTACTACTTATTAGTGATTAGAGTGATTAGTTTATTTTGAAGAAGGAGACATGAAAAATATGAAATGCCTTCCCCCAGGTCTCAAACCCTGATCCTCTCGAATACGAGTCGAGTATTCTTCCAGTTACATCAACGAAGGCATGCGGAAAGGAGGGAGAAAGTACACTATATACTCCCCTCTTAAAGGGCAACGGAAGGTTAGGGGACCCAGTCGACAAATCCTGGACAAATCCTGACAAATTATCGTCCTCCACCTTTTAGCTGGGGCGCCACTGGAGAGTCATCAGTTCTTTTTTAAACAAGGAACGTGAAAAATGTGCATTGCCCTCACCGGGACTCGAACGCTGAACCTTTCGAATAGGCATCGAATATGCTTCCAGTTATCACACTGAGGTGCGCAGAAAGAAGGGTGCGCAGAATCACACTAAAGTGCGCAGATTTATCTTACACAGTAATTACCTTTGCATAATTCAACCCATTTTTTAATCATTTTGTAGTATTCGAGAAAATTTTCTTTTACTTTCATGCTAATTAAATTTGCTGACCAATGCTGATTAAACTTGCTAACAAAAGTTAATTAAACTCACTCGTTACCTATAATTCAGAAAAGCAACAAGCAATAAATTGTCAAATAAAATTATGAAACGTTTTGAGCGCTTTAAGTTTATATTGACTAATAAAATTTTTATATTTCCTAATTATTAAAAATTTTGTATTTGTTCTTTGAGGCTGACATTATGAGAATTATAATTAAAGAAAATTAATTAATCAATTCCATATTCAAAAAGCGAATTTATAAAGACTTCTGTAATAAGACAAAAAATAAAGAATGAACTTTTTAGAATAGACGTATTTTTTAATCGCATAACCAAATTCTTTATGAGTGAATAAATATATACTTTTCACCGTAGTAATAATGAATAAGCGAAGTATTTAAAAATTGTTTAATTTTATAAAGAAATGCATATGGTGATTATAGTACCACAGAAAAGGAAATATGAATAGATGAAAAGTTACAGTATGAAGTGAATTCTTCGGAAGATATTTCTGTCTGTAATGCAGTTACAGTATTCGTTAGTTGTAAATATAGCTACAGAAAAGAAAGAAAATCTTCAAACTGATAATTAACATTGTAAAAAAGCTATAAGCCGCTTTATTACTTTCTGTCAGAAATATGAAACTTTGTAAGACATTTCATGTTAATTAAATAATTATTATAATTCAAGCCTTTATTATAACTTTTTCTTTCCGCAGTTCTCACCAGAATGCAAATTACATTACTGTGTGGCTGAGGGTTTGAACGTTTAGTTTAGAACTTCTTTCAGCCGCGTCTTGCTGTTCCTTAACTTAGCCAGCTCTGTCTATGTTTGTAGAGACATTAGGTTATTTCGAAGGAGAAGACATGAAGAATGAGTAATGCCCACGCCGGGATTCGAACCTCGGACCTCTCGAATACGCGCCGAGTGTTCTGGCCATTACACCACGAAGGCATGCTAAGAAGGTGGGAGAAATATCTTATATGTTATGTTCCGGCCTTAGGGGCCTTGTTAGCTGACGTTTTAAAATACGTGCCGTAATGTAATCTCAGACTACGCTACTTGCAGTGGAATTTAACGTTATCTCATTTTAATTTAAAATATTTGCAAATGATGGCGAAAGTTCACCTGTAGCACAATCTGTGCCTTTCTGTTCATTTAAGACTTGATTATTATTTGTACCTTCTTTATGATTTTGTGATTTGTTTCAGACTAAGTGATAACTCCATATCTGCCTAACAGGATCTGCAAAAGCTTAGATGCTTCTAGATGTAGTATAACATTACAAAATTTTCAAAAAATATATATAAATAATTTCATGCTAGCTAAAATAAAAATTATTAATATATTTAATACTCTCACACGGCTTTAGAGAAATTTTGAATCACTACTAATACATATTTTTTCCCTTATATTACCCATTTGGGATTATTATTTTCTCACTGTCTTCAAATTTACATGATTATAAGACCTCATATTTTAAAAATTCACAGCTGAAAAGTTCATTGTGATTAAATTTTCTAGTTGTTTTGATAGCTATACATTTCTTATTTGAACAAATTCAGATTTACATAAGATGGAATTTTATTTTGTTCTATGAATATATATGTTGTATAAAATGAATAACACTCAAGTCTTTAAATGTATAAATCAGTTTATTGACATGTGAATAAATTGCACTCACACGATCACTCACTATCACATCACAGCTCAGATATATGGCAGCACTTAAATTTCATCAACCAGTCACATTGCATTTTCCGAACCATTTATAAAACTTAAGTACTGCACATCAGGCATTAGAATATGCTTAATTGAGAAGTATTTCTCAAACGCTTTCATAGGATATCACTGTTTAAATATGAGTTCAACAACAATTTAATAAATAACACTGTTCAAACGTTAAATAAAATGTCAAACTGCATCAATATCATATTCTGTTACAACAATATCACTAAAAAAACTTCTCTAAAAGTAATTCTTTTCTCGCAGAATTACAAAAAATAAGCAGTTTCAGTCTCTCACAATATACAGCATGCCCTTTGAAAACCAATTTCTTAAAAATGTCTTTCTCTGCCACATAATAATTCTCCATAGTTAAAAATGCATAGGATGATTTAAATTTCATGAACAAGAATAATATGATAATTTACATAACCCATAACTTTTACAAAATTTGTAAAACTTTTCATATTCTATCCGTAATATGTTTTAAATATTTGCAAAGAATTTTTCAAGTTTCATAGCGCAAATGGATATTTAGATATTTTAGTTACAAGCCACTGATTACCAAACAAAATTCACGATATGTGAGATTATGATTCATTATACTTAATACAACTGACAAGTTTCATGATCGAATATTCCTAATCGAAATATAAGACACAATAAAGTACTATAATCTCGAACTTAGTCCTTATTAGTAATTTACATTTCTTATAATTTAAATTGTTATCTGTACTAAAATTAACATTTTTCAACATACAATGGAAATTTTATGCTTAGTATTAATTTATGCTTTAATATTAGAAACACTCATTTATTAATGAATGTTTTTAATATTAAATTCTTGAATCTTATCATTATATTTTAAAGTATTGCTGCAATGAAATGCTGTTAAAATTTTATACTAGTAAATAGTAAATATTCCAGTAATCCTATAAAATTAGCTTATTAAAGTGATTCAATGTTCAAAATATGTAATAAATAGTAAATGTAAGCAATTTAATTATAAATTTTATGCAATGTTAAATGGAGCAAATCTGTTCATGTATGATATAGATATATATACTAGTGAATTACATCAAAAACTGTAATAATATTTTAAAATCTTTTCAAGATAACAAATTTAGCAGTTAAATGAAAACATTATATTGCATATAAAATTTCCATTACTTTCTTAATTATCTACTAACTTTACTTCTAGTTTCCACCATGTTCAATCATAACATTAAAATGTATTTTTGTCCGATTAAATTAGTAATATGACATGGTACATACCAAACAAGTGTACCAGCATGTTAAAAAGAGAAATCAATTTTGCAGGAAAATAATGAAAGTAACAACTCATTAAAAATATGGAAATATTTTATATTGTCAATAGCTTTTGCGTTATTCAGCGTATTTCATAAATATAGCTTTTTTAATGTTTTTATAGCTCGATTAATGGCCAAACAAATAGTCAACATAAATTCTAATTAAAATAATGTATTAATATTCAGAAGCTATAGAAATTTTATCTGTTGTACAATCATAACTAATTAATATGCAGTCTTTATGTCAGTTATCACCGTTTATAAAAAATAAATGCTAGTTTTACAATCGTTAAAATCATCTCTACAAGCTCAGTTGTTAAAAACAAGTGCTTCATAAGATTAAAAACATAGACGAAACATTTATTTTTAACCTATTGTTACAACTCGTTTTCTAAAATTAGCATTAAAATTAGAATTTCAGATAAAATGCATAACTGTTTTAACAAGAGTTAATTTAATTTTGAGGATTTGCAAGCATGTCATAACTTTGACTAATAACACTTAACAGCAATATTTTAACACGAAATCATTGTGCGCCAAGTTGTTCACATGGTTAAAAAAAATTCATACTGTTTTGTTCCCTATTACAATATATCTCCTACACTGCCAGACTATAACTAGGCATTCTAATTGATAAGGCATACATATTATATTGTACCATTAACAAATATTTCTACTTTCTTTTAATTTACAGCTTATTGTGAGCCTTCAGAACAGAATTTGTTTGTTTGAAGAAAAAGAATGTTTCTTCCGATTCGAAGATGTTACATCATAAGTACTATAAATGACGTGTACATAAGCGTTGATGATAACAATGATTTAGTCTCCAAATTATATATAAAAAAAAATTCAACCAAAACAAATTTTTCATTCAAAATTTTGAAAATGGGAAGAAAATTAAATAACTACTAAACAGACAATGAAACAAACAAAATTCTGGAGATTTTTATGCAATGACCTAATTACGTAACTTGAAAATTTCATTCGTGACAGTTTAATAGTGAACTAATTAATTATATTTATTAAGAAACGCTGGATGTAAAATACTAGTGGATTTTTTCCCTTAAATTAAACTTATATGTTTGTGCTATTGTTTTCTGAACAAAAAGTGGGAAAAAATCAGACAGATACATAGAAAAAGGGCTTTGAAATGTATCATGTCCTTTAAGAATTATTTACAACAAGCACCAGAGTAGTAAGCAAATTATACCATTTCAGAATTCTATCAAATGAGTTTGTGATTTGTTCCTGGTCAAATTTGTTGTCTTCGTGTACCCAGTAACTGAAAAGTGAAAAATGTTAAATAAATTAAGTAAAATTCAACCTTCTTAACTATGTATAACCCTTCTAAATCTGTAACATACTACACTTAAACTGCTTCGAATGCTCAGATGTAGCTGCCTTTAAGTTAAAACAAAGAAAATATTTAAAATAAAACTTATGAAAAACACAGAACACCATACAAAACATGAAGAAAATTTTGCATTGTAATTAAGTTCATTTCTTAACTTCTGTAAGGTAACATTCTGTCTGAACTTTCACTAGAACTCGATTCTTCCTCTTGCGAATATGGAGAAGAAGGAGTTCTCAAAACATCCCTCCTCAAGCTCCAAGGGGTGCGGGAACCCATTTCAAAACCAGATGTCCCACTGTGTCCTGGAGTCGAAGAACCCCTCGGAGCAGGGCTACTACTACTACTAACATCTGATCTTTGAAAACAGGAATCAATCTTCAGGGACGAAAGTTTTTGTTGAATTTGTTGTATTTCTTCGGAACCTAATCTTAAATTATAGTCAGTATGATTGTCATTAAGTTCCCGCAAATCGGGAAGCCGTAACAAAAGCTTAGGATACAATATTAAAGTATTTTCTTCTCCATAACGCCAAAGCATGTACTTTTTCATAAGAATGTAGAACTTCTCTTGTTCCTCGGCTACTAAAACTTCATTTTCAAGACCTGGTCTATCTGGTGAAAGCAGAACTATTACCAAAAGCAACATTGTAGTCGCCTCATCAGGATGGAGTTCTTTAATGCTTCGTATGAATTCCATATGCTTAGTGAATAACTCTGGCGAGACCAATTTTTTTATATCTTCCGCGTCTAGTGTAGGAGAATCACGGTACATGGGTTTTCCTATGTGTGGCCATCTAGATAATTTTTCATCATAGACGTACGCGCCTCGAATAAAGCACAATTCCAGGACACCTGTCCTAAGTAATATTTCTTGATCATGTTGTTGAATCTTGCTAAAGGTATCCAGCCTCTGCGAAAAATTCGTAAACTGTTTCACAGCAGTAAAAAACATATCAAGAATTTCTGTTCGTGTTCTGCCAGATGCAGATCCTACTTTGTGCAGATGTTCACTGAAAGGCACTTCGGTGTAACTCGCTTCGTAAGCATTGACGAGAGTTTCAATCGTTCGCATATCCTCGGGAGCTAGGTACTTAGGTAAGTCATTAATATCTGGCTCGTACTCGGTGAAAGAAGTTGTCCGATGGGGTTTCTTACCAGATTCTGTCGCTTGATGTACAGATTCGGAAGCCCCCTGTCGTTGCTTACGTTCCATTCTGTTTTTTACAAGCTGAAGGCGTTCCTCCTCCGTCATAACCCATCCTGTTTCCATACCTAAATCGCAAAAAGAAAAAGAATTGAAAACCATAATAATAAAGCAACATAACACTCTGTTGTACATATAACAAAATGCAATGCTTTCATAGAGGGAGTGGTCTCAGATGTCTTATATTCACTCAATCTCTAGGATCACTCATTGGTTGATGAATAATGTGACTGAATAAGCAAAATTAGAATACTTTACTAGTGCATTTTAAAAATCGCTTTTAGAGTTGTTATTCCCGATTGATTTATGAAGGATATTCGTGAGGAGATGACTAAATATCGAATTGTATTATCTTTAAGCACATAATATATACGAGACATAATAATGCTCTCAAATGAAGAATGGATAGTAATTTTAAATAGAAAACGATAGATAAATATTTTAAAGTTCAAGGAGTTTTGACAGCTGAGCTCTCTAATCATTCAAATATAGAAATAAAAGCTGGCTCATTAAATGATAAAAAATGACTCATCTATTAATATATATATATGTGTGTGTGTACTCTTAAAATATTTTTAAGGTATGCAGGTCTAAGAATTCCCCCATAACCCTCAATGTTAATTAGTGTATTTTTTCCGTCTTTCTCAGTATAAATAAAATTTATTAATCTGATGCATTATTCATACTTGTATATTAATTTACTCAGGCTGCATTTCCTTCACATATAGTTCAGTCGCAAACTGTTTTTGCAAACTATCTTATATCGTTTTGTTGTAAAATGTTTTTATAAAACGTAAAGGAGTTTGGAATGATTAATTTTTACTAATAAGAACATCAAATGTGTAATGATACTTTTTGTTTATAAAATAAGAATTTTTAATGTTTGTACTATTATTTTTTAATTTTGCATATAGTTTTTGTGAAGCACCTTATTTTAATATCAAAGAATAAAATTTAATGAAATCTAAATTGCTGATTTGTTAAGTTGAGTGCTTGTGGTTTTCATTTATCTCATTTTTCATATTTTTTCCCCAACCGTGCAGGTGTTTCAACAGGTTCAGACTAATGTGCTCCTCGTTAATTCGGATTTGACCAATTAAAACGATATCTTTCAAATATAATTCAATAATAAATTGTATTCGAATATATGAAAAAAGGAAAGAAACGGTTCGTGGCCTCTATCCAAAAGAGTAATTATTTAAAGTTTCACTAACTGTGAAAACATATATTTGTATTATGTGAAATACTATTGAATAAAAATTAATTTTCAAAAGCATCCGATGTACGACAAAGTTTAAATAAAGTAGTAATATTTAATGTATCTAAAAGATAGTAAGACATTAATTATTATATATTTTGGCAAAAGGAGAGAAGATAATTCATGTTTTGCATTGTATTTTTTGTTAAGTATATTTCCTTGTTCATTGTTTACACCTGGCAATCGGTAGCAATCGGCAATTGTGGCGTTACAACGCTAAAATAAAATCGGCTAGATTGTAAGGTATTATCGCATTCCTTGGTGCTTCTAGAAAGGTCTCTACAAGTTAAATAAACTCTAATTCAATTTAGATTATGCCAAAGAATGGCGAGTCGCTGAAACAACGAAGCATAGGTGTTCATATTAAGTTCTTCAACGCGCTGGTTACGGATAATTTGAGCTGTTTCATTGTAACGTAAATAAGGGCCAGTTTCATTCAGCACATAATTTGTAAGCTAGCCTTTCCCTAGATTGTCCTAGTATCCTCTGTCACAATAATATAAGTAATCTAACATCCTAATTTAGGGTGACTCAACTGCTTGCTGTCGTTTACTACGCATGACAACTTTTAATTAAGCATAGGTTTGATGGATGAAAGGACATTTTGGGTACGGAAGTAGCTCATTTATATGCGAGGTTAAACAATCATTTAATTACTTTCATTAATTTTGGGTGCAAGAGTTTCCTTAAATAAATGTTTTTCGTTGTAACTCAATCTAGTGACGCGCAGATGGTCCGTTGAAAGCGGAATAATGTATAAAAAAACTTCCCAATTTTCTTTCTTCCAAATCAGCTAGAGAATAAAAAAGGCAATTCTTTGCACACTTTAAAAAAATATTTCTAGAAGATTATTACTCGACTAATTTCTGGAAGATTTTTTTCTCTTTTATGCCAAAGCTTGTTTTCTTAGAAGTCTTTTCAAGAATTTTTGGAAAACCGTTTTCATTACATGAAGTGTGAAAAGTATTCACTAAAGTACCCAAACCTATTTGAGTTATAAATCTTTCTTAGCAATTCAAGAACTCATAAAAAATGACAGTCATTTTAAGACAATTATTTGAAGAGTTTGAGTTCAATAAATTAGAGTTTATAACTGAACAAGTTTAATAAATCGTATTGAGTTACTGAGAGAATATAAATAGTTGTATTAAACTTTTCAAATGTTTTGTAATTTGTACTTTCGTCTAAATATTAATCTCGCTAAATAATACTACAAGAATATATTTGTTTGATTCGTACCAGCTACGTAATTGATTTTCAAAAGACTATGCTTGTTCAGCTTCTTAGACAAGAAACATATTATTTCCATTTATTCAATAATTACAGATTTTGTGTCATTTACAAAATAGTTAGAGACAAACGATATACGTACAATTTTCTGGTAGACACAGATACACTTCTCGATCAGTACATCTCCTTGAAAGACAACATATAAAATATTGCCTTCCCAGTTAAAGAAATTTAGAGATATTTATGAAGAGAATATATTTTCATAATATCATGCATAACGAAGCTTGAAAGCTGAACTATAAAGTCGTTTGTTCCCATGGATTACATTAAATTATTAATAAATCTAGTAATTGTCTCATTATTTTAAAACTTTTTTTAAAAAAACTCAAAGTCGATTGCTTCAACGGACTAGAAAGCAATTACTTCATTTACATATCATAATTTAAAGCATATTTAATTACTTACATAATTGAAGGCAATTATATTACACATTTTCTATTTCGTATAATAGCATGGAACAGTTTGCAGTAAGCGACTGGAAAATTCTCACTTGATTTCAGTTAGAAATTTTAGTTTAATATCTTAAGTATATATATGAGTAAAATCTTTTTTTTTTTTTCAGTGAATAGTCTGGTGCATAAATTCTTATTTCCATTTGACTAATAAGTTATTTAAAAAAATTCTGCTTGTAATACCAAAGCAAAATACTTTACAAAAGTATTAAAAAACTAATTATTATAAGTTATTTATCTTTTGTAATAAAAATATGCATTAGTTTAATCGATGTACTGTTAAAATGCATAATAAATAGCTCTCATTTATGTTTTGTATTATTAATTCGTGTTGCCATTTAGCTTTTCCTAAGAACACAGACTTACCAATCGACAAACATTTTTTGAACCTGCAGTACTGGCAGCATTTCCGAGACGTAATAGTGATCTCGCATTTCCCTTCGTAAGGACAGTGAAAGTTCTTATAAGCTTCGTTTTGTACCGATCTCCTGAAGAAAGCTTTGCAGCTATCACAAGAGATGCCACCAAAGTGGTAACTCTTGGCGCGATCTCCGCAAGCTCCGCATACTTTCTGGCGCCGACTTGGAGAAGGATAATGCTGCTGAGAGGAGGATGGACTTTCAGAAGGTGGCAGATGGTGGTGAGGTGACTGCTGGCTGCCATTAGGCGGCAGGCTCATGGCTAGAAATAAAAACAAACATAACAATTTACTACAAAGAATAGTTAAATAAAAACAGATTTACTATCGCATAATAACGATTACTACTACGATAACATAGTTAGCGTTTTTAGTAAACTGGCGGACATCTTAGCATAAGTGATTATGTGACGTTGACGCTGAAATAGGAAATGATCACCTTCATTAATCTAGCTAGGGAGCAAAATTTAAATTATTTTCTCATCAAATAAGCCTATTCTTTGAACCTGGTATTGGGTGGCTTAATATAAAATTGGTTAGATATACAAATTAGAAAAATTTGTACCAAGTAAAAATCATGTCGAATGAATTCTACAGTTTGAGATATAACACGACTATGAACAACTGAAAAAAGCGAAAAAAGGATGCAAAAAGCTAATATAAGGTTTAATAATGGCAACAGCTTTCTTGGAGTGTGAAAGTTCAGTAGATTTTAAAGATAAGATGCTTATGATTAAACATATATTTTATTTTATTCTAACATTTTAGCCATGACTCAGTTGAATAGGCCTATATATTTAACCATTAGTGACTTAAAAGACTCCATTGTAGTTTTTAATACATACTAAATTTGAAAATTTCATTCATAAATAAAGTGCCCGATAATTCTGTCTGGCAAATACTACGCCTCTGCCTAGTGGCTATGAAGTAAAGGCAGGATGCTACCACTTCTAAAGAACATTTATTAGACCTGTCATGCGGTTAGTAAATTTTAATGTTTCTCACTTAAGTTATCATTCATCTCGGAAGAGATTGATAATAATCCCTTTTTTATAATTATAGATTATGCCATACACAGCAAAAATGCTGTTCACTCATCCTCAATAAGACTAGAACAACTTTGTACATTAAAAAACCAAATACTCATAAAAAATGTTTTGGAAAATCACTAAAGTTCCCTTTTTCAATTTTTCTGTTCTGTTTATTAATCCCACAGAGAGCGAACAGTTTTATGCGATTTTTATAAACATTCAAACTGGTTTACATCTTAAACACCCTGTTCAACGTTCAAATTGCAACAGTAAAAAGGAAACACCTTAAGGTTCTATTAATTGCAATACAGCTAGGGCATAAAAAATATCAAAAGTTTAAACTTCTAGCTCCAGACAACGGTATGTTGAAAGTTCTTAAATGGTATTAAAACCTGATGGAATGCAGTTCCCCCATGTGAAATAATCGGATTAATTCTTGCGGTCTGATAGTGCGATGCCTCGAATTTGTCGACGTGTCACTTATCACAATAAATGGGAAAAAGAAAAGGTAAAAAATCCTTGAATTCAAAGACGCAGATTTATCACTCCGGCAAATCTCTGTCTTTTCAAGATAAAAGTCTGTTTTAAAGTTAAGCATCCCAGCGGTAAATTAGGACGACAGCAAGCGTTAGTTAAAAATGATCTTGAACCCAAACAGATAATTAGATCGGAAGAATGTGTCATAGTGTCCCTTACGATATGGCAAGTAGACTTGGACATCACATACTAAACTCAGGAATTCCAAAATATCTACCCCGATACTGGGCTTACTAGTCAGGTAACCCGTCTCTGGATCTATGACGATGTATATCCAGTTGAAAACAGAAGCTATAGTAGAAGACTACAAGGTATGTCCCGAAAGTAATGCCCCCATTTTTTAAAAAATATTTATTGAACCAATTCGTACAATTACTTAATATTCTTCGAAATACATCCCTCCCGCTTTAAACACACTTGTTCCAACACGATTCCCATGCTTTATATGCGTCATGGAAGTCCGTCACAGGGATGTCCTTTAGTAACCTCGTCGTAGCCCCCTTGATGTTCTTCAGGGTCCCCAAATGCTGTCCTATGAAGGATTTTTTAATCTTTGTGAACCAAAAAAAGTCAAGCAGGTACAAATGCTACTGAAGCAACGCAACAGTCTCCGACGGCGTTTTCTCAGGTCTGAAATAAAACTTTATCACGTATCACTGCTCAAGAGTTTTTTTTTTTTTTCATCTTTCTGACCGAGCACACATACAAAAATTCACTAAAACAGGCATTGTGACTCTCCAGGAGCTCGGAGCCGACTGGCACTGATCGCGTTGTGTTCCCAAGACTCCACCAACCCTTCCTTGCAAGCGGCATCGCTGTGCGGCGGATAGTCGCGGCAGAAGAAAATGGGGTGCATTACTTTCGGGACAGACCTTGTATTTTCTTCAATGATTAGTCTTGCTGCTGTAGAGAAAACAGTGATAATAGTTCGATACTAGACTATTAATCAGATGAACAACGACAAGTATTCAATCGAACTCAGCCATCACTCTTAAAGTCTATCATGATGTGCATCCAGGTGACAACAGAAACTAGAGTAGAGGACTATATTCTTCAATGATTAGCCGTGTTCCTGTATAGAAAGCAATGATAATCAGGAATTAATCTAAAGATCACGTGATCAAAACCATCGAAAAGCCTTCGTGAAAGAAAATCACACTTCCTTAGTCCTGGACAAATGATATAATGTAGGGTAAGAAAACGCCTCTACTCTTTCTTTCTAAGCAAACCGAAAGCTTGACATTACTTGATTTGGTCATAAAGCTAGGGATATAATCTATTCTGCGGGTGTCTCAGGGCACTGATTGAAGTACAGGCATTTGAATCATAATAATAATATCTTCGTACTACATGAAGAGAGACATAAACTACTATACAAGATTTAATTTTCGCTTATTCCATACCAATTTAATCAAAAATGTATGAAAATAGATATGATGTTGTAAAACGAATTTTTATAGTAATGCATCTGCTATCAGTTAAAACATTAATCACGTCTCAGACCTGTTCCCCAGCGGCAACAAATTAAACCAAAAATTTTATCAAGAGCTGGGCAAATAATTGTTAGAGGCTCCGCAAGTTGTCGTGAAAATCATAGTAACTGAACTTACCCACTATAAAATTAAATCTCATTTTGGATTTCAATCAGTCATTAGTAGCGTAAGCTTAGTTAAAATCGGTTTAAGGATTTAAAATCAATATGAAGATCAATTTTCAGGCAGTTCTAATTTTTTATCGATAATATTGACTGAAAACCAATTTAATTTTTATCATGTGTAAATTATTGTTGCACATTTATTCTTTATCAATATCATCTCCGGCAGAAGTTTGAGGTTAGCATTTGTACTAGCCTTTGTACGGGATCCGTTCAACACTGTTCTGATCTAATATTTCAAAACTGTTCAACACTGCTGTCTCAATCATAATTCGAAGTAAATCATTACAATCGGTACAGAGTATCTGCACTCATCTGTAGCGAGCTATAAATGCAATTACTCTCTGCCTCAAATACAGTTTCGGCTATCTTAACTGCTGTGTCATGTGTGAAAGAATTAGTGCAATGCAAACACCAGGTTTTCCTAGCAATAGTTACTGATATGTAGTATTCTGGTGCAGTATAAACACATATTCTTCATTTCATGATAATAAAACGAAGTATTAATATACATATTTGTATTCTAGCCACTAGAATCAAGTAGTAGTCTCTGAATGAGATATTACCGGTGGACAGGCTGAAATTCTCCGTTCTTATTAGAGATGTCTAGAGCTGCTCTTTTATGTGATCGTAACAAAGCCGTCCGCTCTCTGAAATTCAGTTCTTTTTCATGACTTAATGTTCACTAACAATAACCTTGACGAAAATGCTCGAGAAAGAGGAATGAATCAAGAGTTTCGGGAACATGAAGCGAAAAGAATCGAACAAACAGTGGGATCGGAAGAATAAACTCAATCAAGCTTTAATTCCAAGAACTGATTTCTTTCGGCTGCAGTTTTTAATTGCCTAAAAATTTCCTTTAAATATAGAACTAACAACAGAAATCTGAAATAAGAGAAATTTCATAAAATTTGGAAATGATAAAAATTAAACTCACTTTTAATATAGGAGAAAAAAGAATTTTTACTTCCCTAAACTAGGAAAACTTTTCTGGCTCTCTTAAAACAAAAGCTTTGCTGATTTTTGGAGAATCAGGTGTTCGCTCGCTCAATAAAGTGAATTAGTTCGTGAACAAAAAGCAGATCTCTAATCCGGGCGCGCTTACCAATGAGAACAATCCTTGAACATCAAAAGAACAACTCTTTTCTAGAATCAACTGTTTACTCGCTCAGTAAAGTGAGCCCGTTATTTAAAGCAATTCCGGAGCGGATCGTAGGACGCTAGTCCCGATACTGTACTTTCGCTACAAAACTGATTCTATAGTCTGAAAATAATACTACATTTAACCATCTGTAGAGACATTAGGTACTTTTTGACAGCAGGAGACATGAAAATTAGCAATGCCCTAGCCGGAACTCGATCACGGACCTCTCGAATACGCGTCGAGCGTGCTGACCACTGCAACACGAAGGCATGCTATGAAGGAAAATACCTTATAATCTTAGCGTGATATTCGTAAAAGGAAGACTACTTCAAGCAAGAAAGGGATGAGTCATTCTTTTGATCCATTGTTTTAGCTGGTAATTTTTACAGCTGATTGTATGGAGTGCATTTGTTCTCATTAAGTGTTAATTTTGTCAGTGTGCTACTTTGTTAATTTTTAATCATTGTTGAGTGTCAGACTATAAATCTAATTTCGTTGTAACAACGGCTGATTTCCATCCTCGCAGAAACATTTTCGTGAATTTGTGATTACAAGAGAAAATTTACTTCACGTATATAAATGGTTATTAACAGGTAAATTATAAATCTCGATTTGATTTATAGTATTATGAGATACAAGGAAATGCAATTCATGTTTCTGTGCACAGATTATAATGAAAGCTTTGAATGAAAAATATAAGCAAAATGCATTCAGACATGCTGGGAATAGTTCAATTGAATGCCTATTTCATGAATTAGAACGAGTAACAAATTTAGCGACCTGTTGACCTTTCTTTATTTATTTGATCATGCTGAAAAAGATGTGGATATACTAATAAACGAACAGTAGATTTTTAATTTAGTACATTAAAAGGACACTGTGCACATTCTTTTAATT